ATATATCCAAATATTAACACAGTTCTAATTACTTAACGATTTTCAAGAACTTTTTTTGATGGATAGATATTTTTTTTTAACGAATTTTTTTTTTTTTTTTACGGATAGATTTTTTTTTTTGCTTGAATAAGTTCAATGTGAAATGGAATTTTCTAATTTGATTTCTTTGATGATATTTCAATAATCATTAGATTTATACTTGGGATTCTTTACCTGAAATTCTAAAAACGATGCTTCCTCAACCATATACATATTTAATCAAAAACTTTAATCAATTACCATCTTATCAGACAGTTGAAAACTTTGAGATACCTCAAGTTGAACTGGATGCATTTGTTAACATAATATTAACAGCAATGTGGATGCTTCATGTATTAAAAGTGGTGCTATGATACATGTTCAGGTAGAATCTGTCAAACGTTGTAAGCTGGAAGGGTCTAGTAGAGTAAGAAAGTCGGGTACTAATATAAATAGAATGAAAGAAAATGTTGATTCTCAAACTATTCCGTCCTGAAAAAAACGAAAAGTCAATAAAAAAGAATATTATTTGGGTGGGAACGTTGCAAAAAATCAATTGAATTGAATTATATTAGTTAAAAATATTGTAACTGAATTTATTTTTAACTTGTGCATATTTTTATATTCTTGCTAAACCTGTGAAATTAATTGCGCAACTTTTTTTAATTATCCAACTTAATAATTTCTATAGCATTAATAAATCACGCGTTATGTGTGGCTGACTGCGCCACTAACCTGGCACACATTCAAGATGTGCCACACCACCAACAGATTACGTAATGTTCATTGATGATCTAAGCATTTTGGTTGGCTATACTATGTAAACAATATGCAAAGATCCTTTTCAAAATTTAATATCTTTTACAACTTCTAGCTCAATAACTACTTGATAAAATTTGTTAAATATTTTTTTTATTACATTAATATACATACGTAGAATAAAAATAAGAGAGATATTCGGTAGAATTTCAAAAAAAACCTTTGAATATCTTAGAAATCGAGTAAAATTTTCTTTCTTTAAGCGAAAATTTCTCAAAACCCATCAGACCAAATCCGATATAAATTTTTTAATTTAATTCTATGAATTTATAGAATTAAAATAAAATAATTTATTCATTAAAAGTAGGGATTGGAACCGTTTAACCGTTTAAAAATTGCTCTATAGTTCCGGGCAGAATTATATTGATCGTGGGCCAGGATTATTTTAATGGCGACCAAACTAAACGGTTAGACGGTTAAACGATTAAACGATTAAGAAAAATTTTAGGCGGCTCCAATCCCTAATTAAAAGTTAAAAAAAAATTGCCGCAGTTTTTATTTTATAGATACTTAAACTTAGAACGAAGATTACTCGACACTTACCTGATCAAATTCGATCAGTTTTTTTTTTTTTCGATTCTATATGTTTACAGAATTAAAAAAAAAATCATGGTCGAGTTTTATAAAGTAATTGTCAAATAATCTTCATTCAAAATTTAAGTATAAAATAAAAACAGCGGCAAATTTTTTTGACTTTTAATTAATATTTCTTAACAACCAACCAATAGAAATTCAATAAATTTTTTTTTATTTTAATTAATTAAATACTGTAAATTAAAAAAATTTCTATCGGATTTGGATTGATGGGTTTTGAGAAATTTTCGCTCAAGGTTTAAAGAATTGTAATGAGGTCGAGCGTCAAGATGATTTATTACTGAAATAGCATTATTCTATCGATATTGGAATTCTTTATTAAATATTGCTTCTTTGTCCATCATATACATTAAGTTAGACGGTATGTTACTAACATGCGATTTATTATTTATAAATTTTAGGGGAATTTACAAATAAGGGCCCGGAAAGTGAAAATAATTACAAATACAGGCCCAAATTAAAAATAAATACATATAAGGGCCTAATTTTTAAAAATAATATATATAAGGGCCTAAATCTATTGATAGCTGAAAAAAACGGATCGCAGGCTTATAACAATAGCAAAATCACGATTATAGGATTATCGATTGTTTTATTATAGACATTTTAGAGTTATCTATATAATGATTTTTAGATAAAAGGACAAATGAATTTGTTTCTCAATAATTACTTGATCAAATATGGTAAAAATTAATTATTTTAATTCCATAGTATTGTATAATTAAAATAAAAAACTTCATTAAATTTGGTAGTCGAGAAATTATCGCAAAAAAACTCAAAATCTTGGAAAAAACAAATCGGTCTTTCATAGATGATTTCTCGTAAACCAACTATCCAAATTTGATGAAATTTTTATTGCTAGTTATAATCATTTTCGCTTAAATATTGCATAAAAATAGCGTTAAACTAGCACAATTATTCATAAGGCGAAGTTTCAACAGAGTAGCTCTCTAAAGCTGAACGACATCTTCTATATTAGTAAATGCCATGCCAATTCGCAATGTTTTACTTGACATCATAGTGGCTTGTTATAACAATCATACAAAATTTATTAAATTTAAAAACTTTTTCTATAATTACTAATTTACAATCGCTCGTTACATATTTATGCGATGCTTACGTTTCTTACTAACGATTAAGCCACAGGCGTGAATAGCGTCGCGGTTATTTTAGGCTCTTATATGTAATATTTTTTAAAAATTAGGCCTTTATATGTAATAATTTTTAATTTGGGCCCGTATTTGTAATTATTTTCACTTTCCGGGCCCTTATTTGTAAATTCCCCTAAATTTTACCGTTTAGTCCTGTTATAATCAATAATTCAAAACCTGATTAATGTTATATAGTTATTTGACAAGTCCAATCATAGTCGAATGCTGGATTATTAATATTAAAGAGATTGGTATTAAAGGATTTTGCATAATTTTTTCTGCGACATTGTTAGATGACATACGAAGACACAATAAAAAAAGGAGGTCATGCAAAAATTCAGGTATAGTTGCACTTAAAACTTTGCTAAATTTTAGATATTTTCAAGAAATATCGGATTTTTTAAATGAAGCAGTTAAATTATATTTATCATAAATTCTAAGTATGCAATGTATGAAACAAATACATTATTAAAAATCCTGTATCGTACAGACTAATATCTAGTGAAATTGGAAAAGATAATTTAACTAAAGAAAAAAAAAACCAAAAAATATTAGTCATTATCTACAATCAAATTTTAAAAAACTTTCATGGAAACAAATCATTGCAACTCAAAAATTTGTCGTTTTATTTAGTTCAAGTCTATAGATGGAATATTTTGTCGAATCAAATTGGCAGGACTTTATTAAAATTTAAAAAACTAAACGGAAAAATTAAAGAAACACCAAAAAAATATTTCAATAAATGCATTTTATGGCCCATTATTATTATTATTACCTCATTTTCTACTGATGTATATGGGTTTACACCACTCGGGCGTTATAGACATAGCACAGCTCTAGTAGGAAATAAGCTTTATTTTCTTGGAAGTGCCATTAATACACAGGCGAGAGACAACTTTTATCTCGATGTAACTCTTTCAACACTAAGTATCATAAATCCAAAATGGACTCCGAGCCTGCAATTCAATGCTTGCAAATGCGTGCGTAGGAGGTGCTAATAATGATACTATGTTTCTCTTTGAACATAACTATCCAAATAATACATTAAGCGTCAAATCAAAGCTGGACTACTCCTTTGGTGAGTGGAATAGTTCCCTTAAGTCGACAACAATTTCAAGCCGTTAATGATAATGGCAAGATATACATGTATGTTTATCTCTGGCTATATATAGGAGGTATAAATGTTAATATGTCTGAGGTAATTTACTGATTTAAATTATCTTAATTTAATTTACTAAATTAACATTTCTTATTGGAATTAACTTGCTATTACAATTATTATTAGATTCCGATTTATAATACTACTGAAGGAATCTGGTCTTCATTGGTACGTAACGTTTTCAATTGTTATCTGTCTTAAATTTTTAGATATATATTTATAAAATTAATTATAAATTACTAGGTTGCTGTTGGTGACACTATAGGACCTAGGGCTTGTCACTCAGCAGTATTGACTCCAGATGGATATGTAATCGTATACGGTGGAATTGAAAATAATAAGGCTCCAGAACCATTGTTAGCTACGTTAGATACAAATACAAATCCTTATAAATAGTCTAGCAAATCAAATATCGGTAATAGACCGCCAGCGCTTACATACCATTCTTCATCAATAATAGGAAAATATATGATTACAGTATTTAGTAATTCGTCATTTAATTTAATATTATATTTAGTACTGTATACCGACTGATACAGTATTTAAAATTTTAAAAGTTTAAAGATTAGATATTTCTATCGCAATAATAATTACATTTAATATACTTTATTTATTTAATACATTGACATATTATTTAATAACTTTATTCAGGATAAATATTTTGATATTAATCGATGTTTCTTTTTAAAAAATACAATTCTTTTAAAAAGCCCGAGAAATTCAGGGGTTTTTTTTTTTTTTGATTTTTTTTTTTTTGATGTCATTAAAGTTGCTGGCATCACTGAACTCACTGGAAACCAGATAAATTTTGCTAATTTAGATAGTACCAGAAAATTTCTTCCATCATACCGGGAGGTCTTTTTCAAGACTTAATTTCAGGTCGTCTCGTCTCATACTGTATACTCATCAATTTTGTTAATTTTGCTAACCGCCGGGTTATCTTTTTTTAACGCTAATGACTTAGCAAATACGTGCATGTCACTGATTATAATGGATGATCAAGTAATCTGACGAATAATCAAAGTCTATCCGCTTTTTAGATATCGATATATAGTTTAGTTATTTAATATCCGTATAGGATCGGGTAATTGTCCAGACAGTTAGGATTTACTTCGAACCGCTACTTCAAGCTTATTTCGAACAAAGTCTAAATATAAAAAGTACGTCATGTCGTTTTAATTCGTGATTAAGGATATTGTCATAGGCAAAGAAATGAGATCTACAAAATTAAACCCGTGACTTTAGAAGAAGCTTCGAGAAAATCTTACAACTAGTTTAATAATGTTGTTAAGTGCTTAGCAGAATATCAATAGAATAATCTGGTAATTACAAAAGAAAGCAAGAAATATTCGTAGAGTAGACTCATTGATTGTCAAAGCGCGAAATGTTAAACCCTTTTGTCTAAAAGCATTTTAAGCCCTATAACTTTTAAAAGTTATAAAAGAACTGTAAAACTCCTTTGGTAATTGCATCCTACGAGATTACAAAGTTCTATCCATAACATATTCTAATAAAGTTTACCGACAAATTTCGTTAATAAATCGTTCCAATCCTTTATCTCTGCTAAATCACCAACGTCACACCTTTGGCGAGTTGCATGAAGTCTTTAATTTTAGAATATAAATCTTATATCGTACAATTTACCCGTAATAACATGCATGTAATTGGCTAATTGCTATCCTAAGTAACTTAACGAGAAACGTAAATACACTCTCCTTTGTAGGGGTTGAGAAAAAAAATTTCACTATAGCTTATATCGAGAGAATACTACCATAAATATAAATCCATTAGCACTAGAGTTAGTAATAGACTACCGACGGGGTTTTTTTGTGTTACGCAAACTCAATCTTCAAATTAAGTTAGTATAATTTCTATGTATATATTATATGTCCTTCATTATATCGACTATATCGAGTTTAAGTTAATAGTTACGTAATTTAAAAATTTTCACTATATCGAGAGATAGCGCGCAATACTACAATACAGTAAGTATTTGATTTATCCATTGATCTATATTGATATCCATACTATTGTGTCGATATTTTTGTCAGTTGCTATCATATATATTTGATAATATTAAATAAATTAAACCAAAAATTTTTGAGTTTTTTTAAGCAGTTTTTTCTATGTAGAATTTTTAATGTTTCAATTATAGAATAAAAAAAAAGAAAAAAAAAATCAGTACAAAGTATGATCAAAATTTGGCATGATAACATGGCACTACTTGAAAAAGCTAATTTAATCAGTAAGCAATGAGATACAATAATTACATTATGTACTTTGACAAAACGTACCAACGTAATAGCCGTACCAAATTTATTATTTTAGTATAATTGTTATATTTCATTATAATTCTATTATAATTCTATATCTAATATTTTCTAAACTCGTACAGGGATACTTTGAGGAAAGTTGAATAAATTATTGGGATCATATTTTCTTTTTATATCCACTAATCTATCAAAAATATCACCGTAATACCTTTTTTGCCAATGATCTAAATCTCTATCAATGAAATCTTGATAACTCTCATAAGACGTAAAGTTTGATTGAAAACCTCTTCCGAAATCATTTATTTCATTAACACATTTAGTATCTTGTTCTGCACTTTTCCAATCAGATTCCATTTGTACACAATAAAGTGCATCACGATGTATAAATGAAGAAGAATTATTATGAATATTTATAGCTCCACCATACAAATCGAATGAAGCAAGAATTATGCAATAAGCTCCATTTACAAAATTTACTAACACATCTATAGCTTGATGAGTTAGTCCTTCACCTGTATTAACAAAAAAGGATTTTGCTTTAAAGAAATTTGGATTATGAACCGGATTCACCACTTCATATTTATTAGGTGATTTAGAAAGTATTTCAACAGATTCAAAAAATGTTTGTTGATCGAATTCTGATGAAATCGGTTTTGGTGCTTTAGATAAGAATTCTTTCATTGCATTTTGTGCTTCGTTACTTGGGCCTAAATATAATCCAGTAATTGATAATGATCCTTTCACCAATCTCATTTTAAGAGCAATACCATCATCAAATGATGGACCAACTTCATTAAAAGCATCAAAAAGTTGATACACTTGATTCATATTTGTACTATTAAATTCCAAGTTCATAGAAGTAACTTGTGGTGGTGTTTGATGAATATGAAAGACAAAATATGTTAATATTCCGTAACTTCCTCCACCTGCACCTCTTAGAGCAAAGAATAGATCGGAATTTAAAGTAGAATTAACTTGTAAAAGGTTTCCTTTGGCGTCAACCATTTCCATAGAAATAATATTATCACAAGCTAAACCATGCTTACGACTGTAATATCCAAACCCCTATAAAAAAGAAGCATTTTAAAATAGCTTAAAATCATGTTTTCTAGTAATTTCAAATAAATAATGATAAATAATACGTTACCCCTCCGAGAGCGTGACCTCCAAGGCCAACAGAAGGACATAATCCGAACGGAATAAAGAAACCGGCCTGATTCAATTGGTTATAAACGTTACCCAACCTATTTCCAGCACCAATTTTAGCAGTTTTCGTTTTTGAATTAACTGTAATACCATTGATATATGTCAAATCCAACACGATAACATTATCTCTACCGCCTAAGCCATACTTTTCGTATGAATGACCACCTGAACGTGGAACTATATCCTTTTTTAATTCAACAGCACATTTAACAGCTTTTTGTACATCTTTGTTATCAATTGCGTAAACTAACACTGATGGTGTATAATTTACACGAATGTTTTGATCAATAATTAATGATTGAAAGAGTGTATCATTTGGATAAATTACTGGACCTTCTATTGAATCAAGACACGATAAAGGAGATGACATAGGGCTGGAATTTATATTCTTTATAAAATTAAATGATAAATTGCACCCAAAAAGAAGGAAAACTATATCAAGTTTCTTTATTAATTTCATTTTTGAATTGCTTTAACTGTAAAGGTAAAGTTGCCTTAAGAATTTGAAGGGTATAAATCAACAAGATATATATACGTGTGCTGACAAAGTGAAAACCTTGATATCGAGCTTTAAATTACAGTCAGACAATCCCTAAATGCAATACTTCTCTAAATGTAACCTCAAGCTCAGGGCCCAAATACATTTTCTAAATGCACATTATCAAAAATTTGACCCCAACGAGTTGCATTTCGGGAGGTCTGCATACCGGTTCTACCATTTAAAGTTAGATAACTAATGATAATCGTAGTTCTGTTAGTATGAATACATGTATATATGAGTGTCGTCAAAAGAAAACCCGACAATCTAAAAATAGATCACATAGTTCATTATGAAATTCATATGGGCCTTCCACATCAAATCGGGGCTTAGAAACGATTTTTTGATTTGTAAATATCAACGATTAATCAATTTTTGATTGTTG